TTCATATATCTACCTTCCCCTGTATATATATGTACCGTATTACTAGATATGAAAACTCGTACTCTCGTATTTTGCATCCCTAATATTACTGCAAAATACTTTGGCGTTGTTACGTGCATCAATATTCTTGTGAAAAATCACTCAAAAGTGGTAATAATCATGCAAACAAAGGTACCAACACATCCCATTTTAAGCTATTTGTAGCTAGCTGTTGTCGGGCGGATACAAAAAGGCGTTGGAGTCGTTTCTAAATAGAGACAGAGCCCTCGCAATTTTGCTTTGTGTCCAGCAAACTAATAGCATGATCAGCTGATCAAGTAATTATAATAATCGTTCACTCATTCGTGCGTGCGTGCATGCATGCATGGGAATAATGAGTGATCCGAATAAAAGTAGAGAACTCGATCATAATAAAGGAAGAAGCTGGCCGTCAAGTGTGAACTCAACACTCCTTCCCTACAAGAACACCAATTAAAGGATTTTGCGAAACTTGTTGCCCCATAATTAGTGCTAAGGGGGGGACATTCGGTCCGCAAAAGGCCCAACACTCGGTTCCATTAAACTCAATTACAACCGCGTGTGCCCTCCCTCCTTGTAAAACATAATTAATTACTCGATCTCTGTTTGATTAGTGAGTTAGGAGCTGATCAAACGGTCCTCGTAATCATGCATCTGATTAATTAGCAAAAAAAAAAAAAAAAAGAACCAGCAAGTCGTGTTAGGAACAGTACCGCTGCTGATAATTTAATAGAAGCCTCGTCCAATCGGTACTGTGAAACGAAACACAGTAGCACGCACCGTTGATCTTCAGTCGGCTGGCCGTAGCACATTCAGTCGGCCCGATCGATCAATTTTCTAATTGATTGAATAGAAGTTGTAGCATACGCATACAGTAAACGAATTAAAAAACGTCATTAAACAGAGCACGCTATTATTGGTGTATTAGTCATGATGGATGATTTTAATTACATGTATAAATATAATAAGCACAGCACTTTAGCCATTATGGAATGGTGCTTTTGTCTACGGCAACCTTAAAAGCTTTTTGACGCATCTATGCTGAAATTGCAAAGGCAAGTCCACAAAACAAAAGTTGCAGACGCCACGGACGTAGTTGACCATACGTGTTTTACTTGTCAACAAAGGAAGCTTCTGACCCGAGAAAGTTCATTAATTTCACCTTTTTTTCTTTCAATTTGTGTGCGATGCATACTCTCAACTGTTGCGGTTCCGTTGTCTTCGATCGTAAGGATACGACGGTCTGCAATATTCATTTTGCTAGTTTAGTTTTTTGTATATGATGATCTTTAATTTGTTTATTTGAAGAGAGGGAGAGTATTAATTTGACAAAGAATGAAGGATTTTAACACGAAGAAGGAAAAAAAAAAAAAGAACAGATTATTTTGTTTATGGATGTTAAATTACCGGCACTTAAATTACTGGCAAAGGAAGCCGGGCGCTGAGACTTGAAAAGGTCTCGTTATTATTATTATTGCATTTAATCGCCACGGAAAACATTTGAATTGCTCATTTGCTTGGGAGAAAACCATGTCGGTCGGTCGGTCAGTCAGAAGAACAAAAGTCAAAACGGACGACATTCAACACAAGTTCACTAAAGAAGAATACTACTCTTACTCATCTCATCCATCCACACTGGTCAACCCAACCTAAGACGTCTTTCGCAAGAATGTCCGTCTGTTTTTTCTTTTTTTCTTTTTTTTCTTGAATACATAGATTAGACTAGATTATCTTGAATTGAATGGTACTAGTAGGAATATATATATATATATATATATATAGAGAGAGAGAGAGAGAGAGAGAGAGAGGGGACACACGACGTACAACAACAATATAGTAGAGGTAGTAGTAGTAGTAGTATAATATTCTTTAAATGTAGCAGTAGCTAGCAGCACGATGGTGTGGTGTATTAGTATTAGACAAATATATTAGTATTGGTATAACATATTACGAACCAGTAATTATGCAAGTTGCAGTCGGAGTCAGTGCTAATTTGCAGGAAACCTAATTGCCGTTTGACGTTTGCATAGAAATTTCAGGAGTGGACTTGTATCAACTTCCCATTATAGATGCTTCCAGCCAGGCCAGTTCACGTGATTTTCTCAGGTCTCTCAAAATGCTTTGTTCTTTCTTTTATAGTCGTTGTTTCTTCGACGGGTCCAACTTTGTCATCCCATATTCCCATCCCATCCCATCCCATCCCATCGGCTCTCAAAATTGAAATGCTTCAAAGTCAAATGCTCAGAGGTTTAGTTGAGTGATGTACCAAGTACCAAGGCTAGAAATCGTGCATTCCCTTCCCCACCGGCCTCCCTTCTTCTCCTCAAGAGTTGAATTTGGTGAAGAAGGATTGTTATTATAATACGCCATCTGTTATTGGATTCATTTCAACACAAGGAAAGTATATGACGTTGGGTCAGCTCCACAGCAGACTGCAGAGTAGAATTTTAATCAGTAATCGCGCATGCAGCACAGTAACATTTAAAAAAAAAAAAAAGAACAGACTAACATGAGATCGGGCGACAAGCAAGGTAAAATTCCCGCCATGCCATGTTAATAATATTATATATATGTATACACGCTAGCCAGCTGAGATTGGGTGAACTTGCAAACTAACCTCTCTCTCTCTCAGTCTCTCTGTGATGATGCTTAAGCAGGTAGTAGTCCTAGCAGTAGTTGAAATGTTATAGGCATTGAAGGAATAAGTTTTGATTTGACCGTATATAGCTATCTAATAAGGTATAGCAAGTAGTAGTAGACACCGATGGTCGTGTTTCTTGTTTTGGAGCAGGGGAAGCAGCACTATCTACAAGTAATATCTATCTGTCACTGTGACTGTGACTGTGACTGTGACTGTGTGTGTGTGTGTGTGGGGGGGGGGGGTAAAACTTTTTGAGTATATATATATATATATATCTAAACACAACGACTAGTCTTAAAAGGCCAATAGACCAGGAACCAGAAATGCACGCATGTCTCTGTAAGGCGCTGGTCATGAACTCATCCCCGGATAAGGTCGGTCTACTTTGTAAACTTGAGCATCTTTGAAATTGAGGGGTGATTGATTATTCAACGCAACGGCCCCCCTAATTAATAATAATTATTACTCATATCCATCGAAGCCCTCTCTGCGATGATCAAAGACCATTACGTACTCAGCCAACTCACTGGGGGTCTGGACCTGCCTGCCCTTTGACTCCCTCACTCCGCCTAATTGAAATTTGAAAAACAGAGGGATTCGTTCGTTCCTCCGTTCGTTTCGTCTGTCTTTGAAGTGAGAATTTAACAACTTGCGTCCATTTCCTAGTAAAACTAATGAGGAGTGCATCTTGGAATTTCTGCGGGACGACTTTAAACTCCTATCGATGATCAACTCGATGCTTCTCGACTCTTTACTACTATGTTTGTTTTACTAACAGTTAGTAAAAGTTGTCAAGGCGTCATCATGCTTTGTTGTTTTGTTTTTGTTCTGATGAATACTTATTAGAAAAAGAATGATAAACCAACCCCGCGGGGGGGGGGGGGGGGGGGCTCCTGCGCTGCCGCTTAAGCTTTTTAACCAGCCGGGGGCCGGAGGGTCGACAATTGAGACCGGACCCAACAAATTTTATTTTATTTTTTTTCTGTTATAGACCAAGAAACGTACGCAATTTTGCAGCGGCCCAATATCAATTTGGTCCACAGCGGCATTGTTGTTAGTATTTGTTATTTGTTGGGCCTGATAATGCACTGCTAAGATCTTTGATCCACCTCTTCGCCTGCTTGCTGAGGCCGAGTTTCACCCATGTTTGAAACAGTCCATTCTTGCACTGTCTCAAAACTAAACATTTTGGTTTGGAGTCGGAACTTTGTCAAAAGCAGGTCTCAACTTGGCCCATGTCTAACAGTAAACCGATCCAAATTGTGTATTCCGCGTATTATTTTATTTATTTTAAATTTCCACGGAAGAAATAAAAGATTCCCATTCGATTGTTACATTTCCCCCCCCCCCCCCCCCCCTTTTTCAACTCTCACGTACATATATGAATCCAAGGTTTTTATCCTTCCTTTAAATGAGATATAAATTAATATTATAGATGTGATGCTTTATTTGGTTATTATTTTTGCCAAATTCCTTTTTACATTTTTTTTCGTTTCCCGTTTTATGTCACCTATGTAAATATTCTTTCCAATAAATCATCACACTTATATGTTACTCCGGCTACACTAAAAAGTGTATAATCATTAAGATTGCAATCCAATGAAGGTTTTACCAGGAAGCCATCTTGCACCGTGAAGAGGATGGGAGCCGGAGGGTCAATCAAATACTCTGAACCTTTCTCCCATTTTTAACTCAGAGTACTACTACTATACTACTATATTAATCTTAATCTTAATCTTAAAAAATATGATATCTCTCTCTCTCTCTCTCTATATATATATATATATTTCTGAACAATGCTGCATCTCTCATACGAAAAGGACAAAAGCAAAATGGAATTCTTTAACCTAAATTATCTTTGATACTAACAACATAAAATGATTACCTCCTATATTTCTTTTTCCATGAAACAAAATATGCATTTTTTTGAGGTTGTTTTTTGAAGTTATTTTTTTGAAATTATTTTTGATATTTTTAAGATTATATTTATTTGTATATTACACAACATTATATATGAAAATGATCAAGCCAAACGGATGACAATCCTACTATTGAGCATAGGGGTGCAATCAAGTCAGACGATACGAGTAGCACTAATTCTGATCGAGTTCGAGCTCGAGTACGGTGCTACTCGAGCTCGACTCAGTTCCGTAGTATCCTAATTAAGCATACGTCCTTGCACACGTGTTTTGGTACAGAAAAAAAAAAACCAGTAAAGTAAAACGAAACAAGAAGTTACGGTGGAAACTCCTGAACGCTTAAACAACAAGAGGACTCAAGAAAAGTCTTCTCCTCCTTTCCATCCTCGGTGCTATTTTATTTGTACTGCTTGCTGCTCATTGCTAACTCCCGCAAAAGTTTTTTATTAAAAAAATAAAAAAAAGAAAAGGAAAACGTATTTGATTTTGAGCAGGCATTTTTTCCTCTTTCTGTTAAGTCACTCAGCTCATAGTTTTTCTTCCTCTTTGCCTTTTCTCTTTACTCTTTTGCAATTTCATTATTACATTCAAAATTGACACTCCTATTTAATAGGCTAGTTAGATTGGAGCTTTTTCTTCGTCTCGATTTTTAGTTTTTATAATTTCTTTTGGGTTGAATTGATCATTGTTGCGGTGGGGAATAAAAAAGGGGAAGATGTTTTTCTCCGGCGATTCATCGACCAGGAAGCGAGTGGATTTAGGCGGACGGAGTTCCAAAGAAAGAGACCGGAAGAAGCTTGTGGAGCAAACTAGGTTCGAGAGGAATCGCCGCCTCCAGTTGCGTCAGAACAACTCTGCTGCTCTCAAAATTCAGGTCTCAAAAAGCCTTCATATTCAGGCTTAACGTTGTGTTACAATATATATACGGTTTGATGTGCAGTACCAATGTCTTTGGTTTTCATTTCTTTCGTTAACTTAGCTGGTTCATATCATTGTGAAAGCTATGAATTTGTGAAATTTTGACATGCTTTAGGTCAATTACGAACTAGGTTTTAGCTTGTTTACGGAGTACATTTTATCTCTTGGTTTTTTTTTTTTTTTTTTTTTTTTTATAAAAAAAAATCTCTTTAGTTTTTGAATTATGTAGTACGAGGCCTTAGATAGAGAGCTAGACTAGCCCGTGGAGGATATTTATGTTTCATTTAGCTTCGTATCGTTATTGACACTGGACATTTGGCTATTGGATGGTATTTATGTTGGGTTTAGGAGAATATACGGAATACATGCTGGATGCAAGTATAAGATTGCGGTTAAAGTGGGGATTTTTAGGTTATTTATTTATTTATCTTAACTAAGCTTAAAGATCATGTTGTTAGCGGGATACTAGGTTGGATTCTGTTAATGAGTGGAAAAATGTGGAGGGGTGGGGTCAGAAACATATGTTTGGTTGCACTAGTGTGTCTTAGGTTAATGAAAACAGCGTGCATATTTACGGGAAGCCGTTAATCGACACAAAAAGGCCACTCATAAACGAAATAGCAAAAAAGGAATGATATTTCTATATAGGTTGGGAAGCTGTTAATCACTGCAAAAAGGCCACTCATCAATGAAATAGCAAAAAAGGAATGAAATTTCTGTATAGGCTGCTATTTAATTTAAGCATGATCGGGTCTATTATTATCAGGTAGCAGGATTGAGTAGAATCAGAAAACAAAGACAAAAACGTAACATTGGTACCCAAGCAGGTACCTGGGCATTTACAGGATCGACTTTCGTGTTCTAATCATTTTTGATGAATAAATTTTGGTAGTGTGGATTATGATGTATGTTCTACTTCGTACTTGTGGCAAGTGCATTGAGCATTTAAAATAATAAACACAAGGGGTTATGATAATTACTCCATTTGAAAAGAACGATACATGTAGGTGATGCGCCTGTTGGCATCTGTTTATACACGTTCTTTATCACGTATCATGTAGGAATGAAGAAAGTTGTCTCTTCGGTTATAAAATCCTTTTTCATCCTTAGTTCTCTCAAGGTTTATCTTGTTCCTCATTCCACCAAGGCTGGATGGCATGCCCATGTTCCTGTGGCATATAGAAATGAATAATATATGCACTCTAAAGAGAAGATTTTCTTGCAACTAGTTGATTTACATTTTTGTGCGTTTTACCCAATTGTTATCTGGAATTTTGATTGACGATCATCACATCACTTTGTCTACAGGACTTGAATTTTGTACGATTTAAATAGTGCATTGTCCCTGTAATCTTTCATCCATCACATAATTGTTGGCCAATCATGTGCTAGAATTGGTGAGCATGTTTGTTTGCTGGGAAAAATTAAAAGGCCTTTAATTTGAGGCTATGAATGAAGGATCCAAGTGTATGACAGGAAGAATTAGTCTTGGATGGGATGATGATACTTAGTCCCATGTCAACATTTGATTCCAAACGATCTGAAGTGATAAGTTGACTCGGATAGTCTCTGCACCTAAAATTGACAACTGAGAAAATCCTATTTTATCTGCTTTTCATGCTTTAGGTCAAAGGCTAGCATTAAGAGTCATAAGTGGTCAGTTGAGTAGAATTGATTAACTTAAGGAAATATGCGAAAACTGGTTTAACACTCATCACATGTTTGTGGTTAGTCACGATATTTATTATGATATTTACTATCTGGCCTCCTAAATTTATAACTAGTCATGATATTTATTATGTCACTTATGCTTTTTCCCCCCTCCTTTCAGACGATGGTTAAGCTTAGCTGCTGTTGATATTGTTATGCTGCATGTGTTGTGCTGGCCTTGGAACTTTTCTTTTGGTGACAGATAGGTTTTTGAAGTTAGCAGAAAGAAAGCTTTGAAATATTTTTGTGTTACAATTGTGGAATTGCCTTAAAACTTCCTAATTGACCAATTACTCCCTATTTTAAATATGTTATCATTTGGAATTCGTATTGTTACCAGCATCAATTTAATGTTGAAAGTTAAGTGTGGTTGCTTGTTTAGTTCTCTAATAATCAGAAGATTTACCTTAAGTTCTATGTAGAATCATTGCCTATTTCATTAGAGAATATTGAAGTAAGTTCACCTCAGCTTGTGACATGAACGTGTTATATGTAGAATCATTGCCTATTTCATTAGAGAATATTGATGTAAGTTCACCCCAGCTTGTGACATGAACGTGTTATACAGTAAAATTGCTTTTAAGGACCCTTGGAACTAGAGCCACCTATTTTTTGTTTAATGTATTAACAGAAGTATACATTGTATTAATAAAGATAATAAAGCTTTGATTGGATTATCCCTAGCGCCTCAATTGGGATAATAAAGATAATAAAGCTTTGATTGGATTATCTCTAGAGCCACATATTTTTTGTTTAATGTATTAACAGAAGTATACATTGTATTAATAAAGATAATAAAGCTTTGATTGGATTATCCCTAGAATCTCAATTGGGATAATAAAGATAATAAAGCTTTGATTGGATTATCTCTAGAGCCACCTATTTTTTGTTTAATGTATTACCAGAAGTATACATTGTATTAATAAAGATAATAAAGCTTTGATTGGATTATCCCTAGCATCTCAATTGGGATAATAAAGATAATAAAGCTTTGAGATAATTATCTCTAGAGCCACCTATTTTTTGTTTAATGTATTAACAGAAGTATACATTGTATTAATAAAGATAATAAAGCTTTGATTGGATTATCTCTAGCATCTCAATTGGGATAAATTGATTTTTTTAATTTCTGCAAGACTAGGCCTGTAGGGAGCTTGAAAACTCAATGACTGAAACTCCATTGGTTTGTTGCCCAGCTTTGACTAATTTCTTGTTACAGAAATGCTTTAGAGGGAGAAAGCTTGTGGAGGCTGAACGTTCAGAAGTACGAGAGAGGTTTTTTACCAGATTTGGCAAGCACTTCCAGATTGTGGACAGGTATGCTGTTGGTTCCTCATTTTGATTTTGTTAGTTGCTAGAATGTCTTATTGAGGTCTCTGTTTTTGTAGTTTAATAAGTAAGGCCTTATTGTTCCCCCCTTTCTTCAACTGTTCTTTCATATAGCTCCTGTTCCCTTTGTGGGGCTCAAATTATTTATATAACCTTTTTCAACATAGTTTGATTCTTCTTAGTTTCATTGTCCAGGCAATGCTTTGGTCCAGATTCTGATTTTCTCCGCTGGCTACTTTTCTTTTTTAACCCCAAAAATGCTGCTGATTGTTCTGCCCTTGTGGAAGTTTGTCAGTTGCTTCAGAAGTTGGATCAAGATAATGGTAAGTCAATAAGTAACTTCTGACAAGATTTTTCGACCAATCAACTAACGGCTTATCATGTTATGTCTTCAAGTCTGTTGAATCATACGAATTATCATTAAATATAATTTTGATTAACTCGTAAGCATGCTTTAATTGGTAGCATGCTATCGGAATAGTTTTCTGCCATACTTCATGTATAGCTGTAGAAATGGAGTGGTATGTCCTTTTCGCTCAATATTCAACTTTTTACTCCATCCTTTTAGGAGCGATTATCTCATATCTGATGAATAAAATGCTAATACAGTGTAACTTCATATTAGAATTTGCAAAACCTGTCATCAACTTGATATAAATTTAAAAGAAGGAACGGGAAAACTTACTCTTTCTGTGATGCCTTCAACACTGCAAGCATCTTTTTAATAAGCAGATTCATTTTGACGGGTGTCTTGTGAGCATATTCTTTTGGATTTATTTGCAAATTATCTTAATTTCTGTCTCTCCCTATCTATCTTTTATTTATCTGTCTATCTATTTATCTACGTGTGCTTCATTGTCATGCTAATGCTAGCAATGTTTATCTGCAGTGCTAGATATTATAAGCCTCTTTGCTGGTGCTGACTATCCATCCAATAAAGCCCTGGTGGAGTACAGGGTTAAGAAATTTGCTTTGGCATGTATTCAGGCAATTTATGAGAATAGGTTTGTAAAGAAACCCTCATGTCAGTAGTTTCTCTTAAAAATTGTTAGTTCTCTTTAAATGCTTCAAGTATTGTTGGTTTGCTGTGCAAAGGCTATGTTATAGTATTGTTTGTGCATGGACATTCCTTGATGTCTTGCTGAGCTGCTTAATGTCATGCACTGGCCATCATAAAGCTGATTTATTTCTTTAATCATATATAGTTGTTTGTTTTCTGGTAACAGCTAAACACATTCTTCCATCTTTACTACTGAAATGTAGTGCTGGAATAAGTGTAGGAGCTTTGCACGAGCTAGTGACCTTACAAAAATCATATTAGTTAGCTAATGAAAATGGAATATACGGCATACAATGCTCCTGCCTGAGTGCTACTAGGAAAGGGATTTCTTTTTAATTATTATATGATGTCTCCAAAATCTGTATCAGACTATGACTTTGTTGACTATATTCCACAAATGTCTGTTAATGTGTAATTAGCATTTGTAAATATAAGTGCCACCCTGAAGATGTCACATGGCCTCGAAATTCAGACCAAGTTATTTTTGAAACCTTTCGACGGACTTTTCTTCAGAAGTTAGTTCTTGAACGGTAAATTGCTTATATCAGTTGTGACTTTTGCAGGATCCAGTTAAGAGACCAACTAATGGCATATAAACATGTTGTGACTTTTGCAGGATCCAGTTGAGAGACCAACTAATGGCATCTAAACATTCTGGTGCTCCAGCAATTCTCTTGTTAGATGCATTACAATGGCTTAGAGTTGTAATGAGCTTTATTTGGTTTACCCAACTACCCATACAGGAATTCAAGCTTGAAGTTGTATTTTGTATTTAACGTATGTGGCTCCTAGATTTCAAGTGTTCTTGGTGTTTGGATTTTTCCTTATTCTGGTTTTTTATTGTATGTGACTGAGTCTTGTCTTCTCTTGGATATCCTTGAAGTTCCTTCTTATGAGATGTATCATTAATAGTTGCATTGCTGTGGATTACATGCAGGAAGTAACTATCCAGGGCCTTGTTGGTGATGTATCTTCTTTGGAACGTGTTCTGGCCCTCATTATATCTCATGTGGGGCAAACACCTTGTGTTTGTCCGAATGTTGACCCAAGTTGGAGTTTCTCATCCCAGCTTCTTACAATTCCTTTCTTGTGGCGTCTTTTTCCGCATCTAAAAGAGGTAGACTAATTAATGATAATTCATTAACAATCGGTGTCATTATATTCTGTTTCTTGTCAAGAATTTGGGTATGATTAGATGTTGGGAAAGTGGGCTTCATTGCAGTGGAGTGACTTCTCAGTTTTGCATGCAGTACACAAATATACGTAGCCCTTATCTGCTCTGTATTGCTTTTATTTTGCTACAAAAGCTTTATGCTGTTGTAGCCTGATTCATGTATCCACTCTCTCTTTGTACTTGTACTGCTACACAGGTCTGTGCTGTTCTTCAATTGTTTGGAGTATGTTATGCTGTGATTATCTGCTTGCATAGTAGTTAACAGCTGCTTTTATTGTTTATCTAGACTTTTGGAGCTCCTAGGTTGAGTCAGCAGTATTTCCATCAGATGGCCCTCTGTGTGAAAAATCATAAGAATGTTCTACCTGAAGATATATCAAGTGATTTTCCTAGTTTCGCCTGCCTTCTTGGAAATATATTAGAAGCTGCTGGAGTTGCTTTCGCTCACCCTGAGTCATTTGATATGGTACAACTCAATATATTTTTACCATTTTTTAGTAGATTCCTGGGCTATTTGTGGATATAAACTCCCCAATATGTTGTGGCTTGGCTCCATTGATGGTCTGCATTATCATTTGCTTCCCACGAAAATATATTTTTTAATCTTCTTTGAAATAATTTTACTTGAAAAGTTCTACTTATCTCTTGATATTTTACCTTCCTTATAGATTTGCTTTATATAATATCATTGAGGAGAAGTTAATTTCCCAATCAAAGGAGAGTAAGAGCCAAATCAATTATTTTCTTGCTTGTAATGCCTCTTTTTTTGGAGACATGTCTTTGATTCAAGTACCTTGCCACCTCTTTTTCCTTCTGTTGACCCGGTACCTTCTGTCCAAACAGTACTTTCTAGTATTTCTTGAGCTACCGCTTCTTTATCCTCAAATCGTTGATGAGAATTGAGGCAGGTTCAGCTGATTCATCCCCTCCTGTCTGCGTTGACTATCATTTATTAGTGAAGGGCTGTCAGTTTTTTTCCATAGAATGATAATAGTTTTGTCTTGCTCCATCTCTACATCAGTATGTTATTTAGGTGGACTTTGAACCTATTTGTAATTGGTTTGAAGTTCCTTCCTTTTTCTTCTTCTGCATCAGGCTGTAGATTTTGTGACTCTTGCAACATTTTTGTTGGAAGCAATTCCACCCATCAAAACATTGAATGAAGGAGGTAAACAAAGTAAGTCTTCATAGTACACTTTAACTTACCGTAGGCTTGATTTTTTTATTTGAGTGCATTGTGATACTAAAATCCTGGACTTGATTATCCACAGTGTTTTAACAGAATTGCCTCTTTTAAATTTTGATTCTATTTCATATGTTTGTTTCAGATTCCAATACTTATGATGACGAAATGCTTGTTGATGATGAACGAGCAGAAAAAGTTCTAAATGGTGATTTGGAGCTCCAGATTTATAATGCAATAGATCCACGCTTTCTTTTGCAATTGGTATGAAACTTAAACAGTCCAACAATGTTTAATGTGCATGTTAAACTGAGTTGTGAGATTCTGTTTCAGAAATATTAATTGAAACTTTTTGTCATTGCTGAGCAGACAAATGTTTTGTTGGGTGGGGTTTCGCTTGCCAATAATTCATATATAGGTGGGCCCAATGATAAAGAGGCTGCAGCTGTTGGTGCTGCTTGTGCTTTCCTTCATGTTATGTTCAACATCCTGCCTCTAGAGCGCATCATGACTGTGCTAGCTTATAGAACAGAGTTGGTTCTTGTGCTTTGGAACTTCATGAAATGCTGCCATGACAACTGTAAATGGTCATCCTTGTCCAAGCTGTCTGCATATTTGCCTGAAGATGCACCTGGTTGGTTACTACCTTTGGCTGTTTTCTGCCCTGTTTACAAGTAAGAAATCTGTGGTTTGGCATCATCTATTCTTGCATTACATGACATTGTATTGTGAGTTAATTGACATCTCATGTTTGTATAAATGCTTGACCAGGCACATGCTTATGATTGTTGATAATGAAGAGTTTTATGAGCAAGAGAAGCCACTGCCACTGGATGATATCCGATGCTTGATTGTTATTATAAGACAGGTATTCTTGTAGAGGTTGGCTAGTAGCATTCTGTTGTTTACCACTTGGTGTTTTGAAGGGTTTTATTTGGGGATGTTTTAGTTGTTGAAAAGAAGCCTCACTTTTTTTTTTTTTTTTAAATCTGAATTCATTTTTTGGACTTTGCTAGCTGAGCACACTTCAAACCCCTAGTCCCTGCCAAACAGGCAGCTGGGCATTCGGGATTTAATCAGCTCATAGATAGCTTCTTCTATGAATTATGTAGATGTTGTTTTATCTCCATATGTTTGCAAACATAGTAGTTCAACAAATATTCAAGTCCATTTACTTAATAGGCAATCCACCTCTCTGTTACTCTTGCCTGTGTTTGCCAAGGGATCAACTTGACATGGGCTTAGCTTTTGCATTTACTCTATTGAATGTGATCTCTTCAAGTTCATTCAGGACCTTTTGCTTTCTTAACTCTTAGCATTTTACTTTAAATGACCAAGAAAGACGTGTTTTAAGCTATCTTGTATAACAGAATCAGAACTATATTAAACTGACTAACAATTTTTTAATAGCTGCCCACTTGTTTGCATGTCAATGTCAAAGCACAATCTCATTGAACCAGTTCTCTTAGATTTGAAAGTCTGATGTTGCTTCCTGGATCACTAAGCTCTTTGCTATGCTCAAATTCTCAATAGAATAAAATTCCTGACACTGTGGTGATATCCTGGTGCATTTGCACTTTCTTTTTGTAGGCCTTGTGGCAACTCCTGTGGCTGAATCCTGTGGCACCACCTAATTTTTCCAAGTCCCCTGTTGACACCTTTGCCATGAAGAAGCACCCATTGGAATTTCTTCAGCATAGAGTTTGTGTTACAGCTTCTGAGCTCTTGTCGCAGGTATATTTTACAAAAGTTTTGGATGATCTTGGTTATGGTTCTGTTTGTTTTTCCAATTCTGAATATTTCTCATGCATATGCCTTTATCATTGCATCTTCCATTTTGCCTCCTCCTGATATGATTCAACTTTTTAGTTGCAAGATTGGAATAACAGAAGGCAATTTACACCCCCAAGTGATTTTCATGCTGACGGTGTCAATGATTACTTTATCTCTCAGGTATATGCTTTCTAACTTCACTTTCAATAAGTTGATAGAATTGCCCTCCCCCCCCGACAAAAAGAAAACCCATGAAAAGACCTCTAGTTGTTAATTATGCTATTTATTTTCTCCAGGCGACCATGGAAAATACTAAAGCAAATGATATACTAAAACTAGCTCCCTTCTTGGTTCCATTTACGAGCAGAGCTAAAATATTTGCGGTGAGTTGCTTATCCATTGATTTTTTCATTCTGTCAGTTTTTCTGTGTGCTTGCTATCTTCAAAGAAAATGATTAAATGTGGATTTATTAATTCCTAGTTTTCTCCCCTTTCTCTCACAAAATGTTGTATAAGGAATTCTGTTTTCCTCTGATTATGATTTTACTGACTGCTGATGAGAGTCATTGTTGGATCCATCTACCAGTCACAGCTTGTTGCGGCAAGGGAAAGGAATATACCTCATGTCCCCTATGTTAGGAACAGGTTCAGAGTAAGAAGAGATCATATCTTGGAAGATGCTTTTGATCAGTTGAATGCCTTGACTGAAGAGGATCTTCGAGGACTGGTGATATTTTTGTTTTTGTATTTAGCAGTTCTGAACTATATAAATTACTATGTTGAGTCCCTTATAAAAGATTAGCCGCTTTGCCTTCATACCTGATATGATCATCATCATTGTTTTTGTCCAGATTCGTGTTACTTTTATCAATGAATTTGGAGCGGAGGAGGCTGGAATTGATGGTGGTGGTATTTTCAAGGATTTTATGGAAAATGTTACTAGAGCAGCCTTTGATGTACAGTACGGATTATTTAAGGTTGTGTCTATGCAGTGACTTTAAGCTACAAATATGCTCTTCATCTTTATGCCGATTTATGCATGTGTCGTCATATGTGTGGACGTACCCACACATCTGAAGTCGATGGCATGAGCACATCATGAAGGAACCTGTTTTTTTTTGTAGTCCACAGTGGTCCATTCATGCAGCAAACTCTCTCTCTCTCTCTCTCTCTGTCTCTCTGTCTCTCTCTCTCTCTCTTATGAAAATGAAATGCCCATGTACAATTTATGCATGTATGTATATTTGCCTAATTAATTCACTACATAATCATGTTTTTGGTCTTTTTGAAGGAAACGGCGGATCACCTACTGTTTCCCAATCCTGGATCAGGACTAGTACACGAACAGCATCTCCAGTTGTTTCACTTTCTTGGAACTGTTCTTGCTAAGGTAATGATACATCTGTACATTTAAAAGATAAATGCTTGTCTTTCATGTCGCGGCATCTGGCTTTCCAGCTCATCATATACGTGAATTATAGAATTGATTTGAGTACACTACATTTAGGGAATGGATCCCAAATGTGGTGGAAAATTTTCCTTGACCATATTCTGTAGCTCATAGCTAACATTTATGTCTTGTTAAAAAAAAGGGTGTGAATTATAAAAGCTAATATGGGTATCTGTTAGTGATTTTGAGATGATAATTTTTCCAGGATGAACCAAGTGAATCACACGATTGTGTTGACTGGAGGGGGGGGCGGTAGTTGAGTAGTAGGACAGATTTTAGGAGGTTTCAGAAGGTTGTTTGCTCTTTGTCGAGGGAATCTGTATTGGAAAGATTATGCCGTCTTAGTGTTGAACCTTTCTTTTCATTTTTTGTCACGTCTTAGGAACATAAACAGGTGCTTGACATGACAGACAATTGGAAATGGAGCCTTAGAGGGCATGTGGCTCTTGTATCGATGGTGGCTTTAAAATATTGAAACCACCTGCCCATGGTGACACAGAATCTGGGTGCATTGAGTAGTATAGAAAATTGAATCATTGAATAGGCCTGAAGTCCAATCTTAAAGTAACTTTTATATGGTTTCATACCCAGATCAACCTGCCAATTGAATGGTTGTGTACTTGGTGATATGACGTGGAGCGCCATGCTGAGCAGCTTTTGCAAGCTCCCAAAATCACCCTTTTGTGAGATGTTCCTTAGTGGAACCATTGCTGGTGATACAAAATTTGGATGCTACATCATCCTAATGCAAGCTTGTTAATATGATATAAAATTTGGAAAGTTTAGCTCTGCCTGCTGCTTGTACTAAGACTCAATTGAAGGACCGAGGCCAAACAGGTCATTTAGCCATTACTGAGCCCAATTTGGTTCCACGTTTGATTGGAATTAGTTCACCAGACAAAGAATTCAAATATTTTGCCTGTACCTACAAAGATATCATTTCCATTCTGCAACTCATTCTAGTTGCAAAAAATGGATTTTATGATTTACACTTCTAGTCTAGCTTATCTCACCATCCTCTGTATGCAGTATTTTTTTACACATTATAATAAGTTCTGTTTTCTTTTCATTGACTTGCAATAAAGGTCAATATGTTGAACCAGCCAGTATGTGTGTTGGCCTGGGGAGGCTGAGTTTTAATGCTTAGTACTTGTTGACACTCTTCTAATGGGATGGTCTCTGGGTTCGTAGAGTTGAGCTTCAGGTTACAGGATGGCAATTTATCAACCAAGATGCACCATTGAGCATTTTTTAGACCATATTCATTGTACTTAATTGGTCCCTGAGTTACTTGGTAGACTTAGCTGGTGTAATCTTTTATGATAGGTAAACAACAATAAAGATTTGCTTTATTCTCTGTGTGATGGATTAAATTCTTCTCCTATACCAAGCACAGAAACATGGATTGTCAGGGTCCATGCAAAATGTGGTAGCATTTTTCCTTTGCTAATATTGAATATCACTGCACATTTAACACTATATTCTGATTGCACTCTCACTAATTTATGGATCTTTTACAATTGTCTAATTTTTTGTTATGATCAATTGTTTCTGTAATTTCCAGTGTTTGCATCTGCTTGAGTAATTCCTAGGTCAGAATGATTGTTTTATGTGGTCTTTATTGCTTAAGTATGATATGGGTTTTTTGTTGTAGGCAATGTTCGAGGGAATTCTTGTTGATATACCATTTGCAACCTTCTTTCTGAGCAAATTGAAGCAAAAGTAAGGCACTCAGTCTTGCTTCTAACATGTTCTAACATTCCCTTTTCATGATAAGCTTGTGTAGGGTTGGATGGTTCGGGGGAATGGTGTGTGAGTGAGAGGTCCTGAGTTTGAGACCCCTCCCACTTACACTTAAAAAAATGGTAAAAAAAAAAAAGGATACTTGTGGAGGTGTATCCAACTTGAAAGCTTAAGAACAAAGTAATAACTTTTATCAGTCAAGTTTATATCTTGATACCCAAAAATTGCGGCATATACTAGTCTCTGGTGTTTGTGAAAACACCTTGGACCCGAGGGTTGAGTGACATGCTTGCTAGTGAGATCAATTGACCTCACCTGGTTGGTAAATTGAATTTTAATTGTTATCCTATTTTATCCACCATTAACTTTCACCAAGAATGGTATGAGTTTGATCAGTGTCAGATGAAAATAGGAATTTCTGATGCATATCAGAGGATGTTTAGTGATATAGAGCTGATTTAGTAAATCTAGGCACATAGAATTGCAGCAGTATTTGATGTGGTGTTCCTTCTTCGATGGGAAAGAGTTGCATAATGATTGGGCTGATTTGGGGTAGAATGGAGAATGGGGAGCCAAAAAGATGGCTATCCAGTTAATGGCATGCTACTTTGCTTTTGGTACTTCTCTAAAATGGGGCTTCTTGATGATGTTGCTACTCAGGTACAATTACTTGAATGATTTGCCTTCCTTGGATCCAGAATTATATCGGCATCTGATATTTCTGAAGGTGATGCTTCCCTCTCCTGTGTCTGCTTCATTGTGATTATTCACAAGGATCATTTATGCTCAATGGAAGTTGAAGGTTCATAAATTTGTAGAAAATTGTTATTTTCTCTTCCCAAACCTTTCATGAGATTTTCTGTATTCTCTCTCATTTTGTACATGGCAGTAGCAACCATATTTTAGAGTTAATTTCAAAAAATTGGGCAATGGAGTGTATGATAGCATCAGAGATGATGATAACTTTTAATAATATCATTTCTACCTAAGTTAGAGTTTGTCCTCGAATCTCTCTCTTAGTGATTAGAGGAGTGTTATCTGAAGATGCTCCATCTTTTGTGTTAGTATAGAAGCTGCTTTGGTGCAAACTTTTCCTTCGTTGTTTAAGGCTTTTACTCCAAGTTATTTTTTTTGCCTTAAAAAAAAAACTATCGAGCAGAGAACGCCTTCCTCTCTTACTCCGTGAAATATTTGGAGATAAAGAAATACATCCCTAAAGGGTATGAAGATAAAGAATAGAAAAGATATTATTGCCTATAAAGTTCATATGTGCCTCTTATTTGGCAATTCTTTTTATACTGTCTTTTTGGCGTTTGCAATTGCAGCATTATGAAGGTGATATCTCAGGGTTAGAGTTGTACTTTGTTATTGTCAATAATGAATACGGGGAGCAAGCAGAAGAAGAGCTGCTTCCTGGGGGAAAGAATTTACGGGTGACAAATGAAAATGTCATCACATTTATTCATCTTGTAGCCAACCATCGTTTGAATTTTCAGGTGAATATCCATCTTATCATATTTAGGTTTTTGTGTCTGCGTGTTTATGTCTGTGTTTGCATTTGTGGGCTGTTAGATGGCCCTCCACTTTGATCCATGAAGGCCTCCCTCTAATTGTTAATTTTTTCTCCAAGGTTCATGTTTAAAATTATCAGTGTGATTTTCAGATACGCCAACAAAGTTCTTATTTCTTGAGGGGGTTTCAGCAGCTTATACAGAAAGAATGGATTGACATGTTTAATGAGCATGAACTTCAGGTATTTCAAGCCTTGAAAATCTTAAATTTCTGTTGTGTTCGATTTTGTCTTGTTATATGATTCTACTTTCAACTATCAAAACTATATAAATCCAAGGTCAGCAATAAGGTGTTGTATCATAAGTTTTTATATTCACCAGTTGTTTTTGAAAGCAAACTTGTCTAGAATCATGGCCCAAATTATGGTACAATCAGCAATATTGGGTGTTAAAACGCTTGCTGACCTGTCAGTGACAGCTTATGTCTTTGCGGTCATAGTAAGGAGAAGAAGTTATATGCAGTAGGCAGGAAGGCACTCTGTCTCTGTCGCCCTTAGAAACGTAATATGAATCAGAAAACATGATATGCACAGGATATTAACAACATTCATTTTATTTGCTCTAGTTCATGGTGAAAGTAAAGGTATTTTTATGAGGGTATGGTGAAAATATTGTGAACTTGTGAATATTTGGAATAAATACATACACATTCAGTGTATGATAAATTGAGAATTTTCATGTATTATTCTTGATATACCTGGAGTTATGGTTCATAGCTAAAAAAAAAATCCCTACGTATAAAGGACTAAATCATTTTGTTGTTCATCCTTTATGAGCTTGTCCCAAATTGCACAAGTCTTGTCACCTGAAATGGAATGAAAGATAACTGTGTGGTGGTGTCATCGAAATTGGCAAAACTGTTATGTTCAAATTAGCTTGATTGCTGTTGATAGGAATCAGCGGTAACAGTGATGTGAAAGGCTGCCAATTTTGCTTTTCTCTTCAAGGACCAATCAGCTTGCTGTTAAAGGAATACCAAAAAGCAAATTCTAATAGGAAGTAGTGAGCAAGTATTTATCTCCTCGTACATGCAAGTAGATTTATACTTATTCATTTTGTGCAACATAATCTCATTCAATTTCTCTTCTATTTACATTACTGCAATGATTTTCCGTACTCTCCCTTCTTGTTCACAACTGAGGTTATCTTTATGTATGAGTCATTTGGGTGTCAAAACCCAGGTAAAGGAAGTGGGAATAGAGAGAGAGTGTGTGTGTGTGAGAGAGAGAGATGGCTGGAAAATTGTAGTATTCACAACTCATGCATATGCTTGATTTGATCGTGAACAATAAGATTGAAAATTAGAATACCTGTGAGCATGGTAACCTGTTGCATAAATTTATTGTTGTTATTATTTTTTTTAAGTCCAAAAGTTATAAAGAGATGCCATTGGTGTTCTATTGGACTAACAAAACTTTCCTCCTCTTCTTCCAGCTTTTAATATCTGGATCAGTTGATGGCTTTGATCTTGATGATCTTCGAGCTCATACCAACTATGCAGGGGGCTATCATCAAGTAAATCTCTCTCTCTCTCTCTCTCTCTCTCTCTCTCTCCAGTTCTGAAGTTACTAGGTCTTCTGCATTGGATTGAAACATGCTGGTGTTACATGGTTAATGTGAAACATTTTCTTTAAAATTTCTATGCTACTTAAGATTTACTAGTTCAGTCTGGTTTTAATATCAACTCCTTAGTTGGTTTCTTGTCTAACTTTTGGATGTTAGATAACTATTGCATCTGACAATTTCTATTAGTGAAGCAGAAAATACTTATTGGTATAAGGATGAACACAAAGTTTGCATACTGTGCTCATTATTGAACTTGTGGACTTGTAAGCTGGACTGTGGACAGCAATTTCATAAAATACAATGATATTTACTCATCCATTGTTAGGAAAGTTCCAAACTTGGGATATGAATGTTAATGAATTGCACCTGAGAGTCCTCTGTCCATGATCAGTTGAGGCGATTGCTGTGTCTCTGGATGACCGGTCATTGATTGCTTATTTTCAGAGACTAATGATTTTTATAATTATCAAGCATGCTCTTTTATTGGTTGCTTTTCGCTGTTGATAAACATTGATCCTGACTATAGTTCTGGTCTGCAGGAGCACTATGTCATCGAGATGTTCTGGGAAGTTATCAAATGCTTCTCTTTGGAAAATCAGAGGAAATTTTTGAAGTAAGTTGTGTCAATGGACTAATGGATTTTTTTTGGTTCTTCCTTCCAAATTGAATGCACTTTCCAACTTGGTATATTGATTTAGTACTTCAGGAAGAACATTTAGGAGCATGCGGGTGTGAGTGTACCATCATGTGTGGCAGAAAAGTTAATGGCATGCTCTATTAATATTATACCACCCTTTCCATGTAAACACATTAGCCTTTAACTCTCCTAAATGAAGACTGAAGGAATGATATCCAAGCAAAAGTAGCTGACTTGGGGAGGGCTGTCTAAAGAGAATTATCCTTTAATTGTATCTTCTTCCGAAACTGAGTGTCACCTTCGCCTTGGTCATGTCTAAGGCTTGACCCAGTTTAGAAAGTCAATACAATATTGAGTTTTCTTCTCAAACTATGATGAATTTAATTACCAATTCCCTTTGGTCGGAAGGGTGATGCCTGGATAAATTTTGTCTTCATAACTTGTCAACTTGCAATGCAATATTTAGTTTTCTACTTGATTTACAATGAAGTTAGTTCCCAATATCCTTTTCCCAAAGGATGATAGCAGGAGAGAGTTTGCCTTCATAGCTTGACAACTTGTAAGTTGTGTCTTTACTAGTTTGGGCGGGAACTGCAATAGTTACCTCCCCATGCATCATTTATTTTGGTGATTGGCAATTTTCCCACTTTTTGTTTTGCTTTGCTATTGAAGAATTTTTATACAGAAGTAATATCAGATACTTTTCTAGATTTTTTCTTCCTAACTTTATTCCTCATTCTTGTTTGCCCTCTAGCTTGTATTTGACTATATGTAAGTGTGTACACATCTACCTGCAACATTTTTTGGGTCTGAATAGTTTACCTTTATAGGTTCAAGAATTACAACCAGAGTGCCCTTCAATATTTTTTTTTTTTTTTTTTTTGGGCTTCTTGATGTTAAGGTATTGCATTTTACTGTGATTTGTGTCCTGTACCTCAAGATCATGGAAAAGTACATTTATATGTCGAACTAACTCAAAACATGTTGCAGTATGCCCATGTGGTCTATTTTACTATTGTCACTTCTTCAGGATATGAACTACTTTTAGTTAGCGCAGCTGAATGAACATTGCTTGTGCTTTTTTACTCAAGGTTTGTTACTGGGTGTTCTCGAGGGCCCTTGCTTGGGTTTAAGCACTTGGAGCCGTTATTCTGCATACAGAGGTATGGTTGGTTTCCGATTATGATGTGAAATGTTATACATGCTAGATGCTCTGCTATTTACATGTCAATCCTTAATGACATTTCCTTCCTACTCAATCAGGGCTGCTGGCAGTGCTTCTGAAGAAGCTCTTGACCGATTACCAACAGCAGCTACTTGCATGAATCTTCTAAAGCTTCCTCCATATAGAAGGTTTTCTTTACTTTGAGCTGTCTGTAGATGATACTCTCTTCTATTTTTCTTGTTTGTAAGGGCGTATGTGTCCTCTGTATTACAAGCGTATCAAGCCCATATGCCTGGAGAACTTATGTTGTAGCTCTGAAAAAGTTGTCCAAAGGGCATACTTTTAGTAGTTTCAAAATTAGGCATTGCAGGTGTAAATTTTGTTAGTTGCTTATGTTGTTTATGTTTCATTTGACTTGATACAGCAAGGAGCAGATGGAACAGAAGTTGCTATATGCCATTAGTGCAGCAGCTGGTTTTGATCTGAGCTAATAGAGAGTTGAATCGTAGGGTTATCACGGTAGAGAGTTCCAATTTAAGCAGGCGGAATTCTCAAGTGTATTGGATCAAAGGAAATAATTGGTTTGAGGAGAGCACGTGCTTGGTTGGATTTGAGTACCATTAGGGCCTTCTGTGGGTAAACTATACGCTGGTGATTGTCAACGGGTTGACCAAGTGAAGCCCGAACAGCGGCATGGGGAGGCAACGTTCAACTTCTCCAATGTGCAACTGGATTCTGTGTGGATACAAGATTTGCTAGGCTGCTTGGTCTTTAGATGTACATATGTTGGGGTAGCAATGTAAATCATCTTTGAGGAGACAGGCAACTGTACATGTCAATGGCCTCCTGCAAGTAGGTCTGGCTGGGAAAGTCGGTTTGGGGTTGTAAATTTTTGAGAATCTTATATCTCACATAAAATCCTCGTTGATTAATGGCGGCAGGGGTGGGGGGAAAAAAGAACAAAAGAAGGTTGCCAGACTCTTCTTGAATGATAGCGTGCATAATGGATTAAAAGCTGTGCAGAAGGAAGTATGTACTAAGAGTATGTATGTATAAACTTTAAAGTAAAATTGCACCACCAGTCCTTTATACGTTGCATTTGTATTTTTTTTGGGGCCCTTACTTTCAAAATGATGCAAGTATATCCCTTACAAACACAAAATGGACCATTTTGGTCCGCAGCACTATCTGCTTTTGCTTAGCCTTTGATCCTACATTTCTAGTATTTGTAATGGAGGTTCGTAAACACCATGTCTGCTTAAAAGCTTAACTACGACACTTTTGACGCAAAAATATAATGTACGCTAGAATCAATACCGGTTCGTGCAAATCCCAAATTAAATCTATTAATTTATTTACTTGTCCAAGTTGTTGCAAAACGGTCTCTAAATTTTTTGTTTTATTGAACGTGCATGCATGAGCATGAATCAAGTGAGGGTGGTGGACGAGGAGCCATGTTTTTACCAACTGTTGGGACTCAATGCATAAAGCTGGAGGAGGACATCAAAGAGCTAAGGAAAATGAAGACGTCCTCAAAATCACGAGTTTGTAATTGGTATGCAAATAAGAGGATCTGCAATAATCGACTTGGAGGCGCTTACAAGGCCAGCCTCCTTAAATTATAATAACGGAGTGAAATTACGGCAAACAAACAAGAGTAGAGTAGGCCAATGTTCGAATGTGACATCACAGCTTATTTATTTATTCCTTTATTTATGGAGAAAAAAAGAGAGTCCCAAAAAAAAAAGAAAAAGAAAAAGTCGGGTTTGGAATATGGATGGTTTGTCCGTGGGAAAAAGGAAACAGCCCCTTCAACTCCGTCTTCGTCTTCTCTCATGTTTGTATCTCGAGTCGAGTCGAGTCGGGTCGGGTGTTATTAAATTAAGGGTTAATCACATTTTATCCTCTTAAAGAATATCTCATTTTTCAATTTACCCCATAATATTTAATTTTGCTCACTTAACCCCCTTTATGATAAAATTACCCTTGCATTATTTTGACTTTTCATTTACCTTATTTTCTTTTCTTTTATTTCTTTTTCACTTTCTTCTTTATTTAATTCTTTCTCTTTCCCACAAAAATATTCACTTTAATGATTGAAATTAAAAAAGAGGAATTGCAGAGATTTATCTTCCCCTTAAATGATTAAAAAAAAAAATATTCAAATCACTTTCCTAAAATACAATTTTTTAGCCTTTCAATTCTTTTAATTTTGGGTTTTCCTCTTTCCTTTCTAGTTTTTCATTTTATTCCCAAGAAAATATCATAAGATAAAATTGTGACATGATTAATAATCAGCAATTGAAATTTGTAACATGTGGCATCATACAAAAAATCAAAATTAGTTTTTGATGCCTTTTAAACCTTCACCTAGAAATATGCAATTACAAACTCAAAACAAAAATTTTCGTTGAAATGGAATTTCTATTGGGAAGGATGAAAGAGAGAAGAAATAAAAGAAAGGAAAACTATTTTATCTTATGATATTTTCTTGAGAATAAAATGAGAAATTAGAAAGGAAAGAGGAAAACCCAAAATTAAAAGAATTGAAAGGCTAAAAAAATTATATTTTAGAAAAGTGATTTGAATATTTTTTTAATCATTTAAGGAGAAGATAGATCTCTGTAATTACTCTTTTTTAATTTCAATCATTAAGATGAAAATTTTTGTGGAAAAGAGGAAGAATTAAATAAAAAAGAAAGAGAAAAAGAAATAAAAGAAAGGAATATAAGGTAAATGAAAAGTCAAAATAATGCAACGGCAATTTTGTTCTAAAGGGGGTTAAGTGAACAAAATTAAAGGTTAAGGGGTAAATTGAGAAATGGGGTATTCTTTAAGGGGATAAAATGTGATTAATCCTTAAATTAATTAAAGACTATAAAAAATAAACAAAATCACTCCTCCCCCCAAATTCAGAGCTCATATTTTTCTCTCGAACCTGAGAGTCCTCCGCCACTAACCGATTGAATTTGTCGTAAGTAATCCATCTTTAGCTTTGAAGCTCCAAAAGAAATGGTGAAGGTACGAATGAACACGGCCGATGTGGCCGCCGAGGTCAAGTGCATGCGCCGACTAATCGGCATGCGGTGTTCCAATGTCTATGACCTCTCCCCCAAGGTACCTGCTTCTTCTTCTTCTTCTTCTTCTTCTTTTCTCTCCAAATTTTGCACCTTAATTGGAGTGTTGATTGCTTTAGGAGCTGATTATTTCTAATATAATTGAGTGAGTGATTGTGTTTTTCAAAAAATTCTTGTGATGATTTTGCTGAAGATTTGAGTGTGCGTATCTGCAGTTTTATTTATTTATTTATTTATTATAACGAATGTTGTGTGTGGCAGACGTATGTGTTTAAGCTGATGAATAGCAGCGGAGTAACAGAATCAGGGGAGAGTGAGAAGGTGTTGTTGTTGATGGAAAGCGGAGTCAGATTGCATACCACTGCTTATCTTAGGTAACAAACCAATTCCTTTCTATCTCTTAATGTTTCATTTGTTTCTTTTGCTGTTGCTGTGATAGGAATAAAAATGCACAGTGAAGGTTGAAGATTATATTCAATATGCAATGTTCAAATGGTGCAGGTTGGGTTCAGTTAAACTAAGTTCTAAGTATTTCGTTCGTCTGTGCTTGAGTCTGGCTGAGTTGCTTCACCGCTGCTCGATATTTTGCATAATATGATATAAAGGAACTAAAATAAACACGAGGCCAAAGATCAAAGCTTGATTAGCAAACGTTGTGCAGTGTTCGTTCCCAACTTTAGTTATTTGTTGCTGGTAATGATTTTCTAGGGACAAAAGCAATACGCCATCAGGATTTACGCTAAAATTGAGGAAGCATATAAGGACCAGGAGGCTTGAAGATGTACGGCAACTTGGTTATGATAGGGTATGGATTTAAATTTGTAAAAATTCTCTTTTGGGGTCTTTTTGGATTTTGTTTGGCTTTTGTTATTGATCATGAGCTTTTGCTCCGTGCTTAGATTGTTCTATTCCAATTTGGACTTGGTGCCAATGCGCACTATGTAATATTGGAACTCTATGCCCAAGGAAATATTCTCCTTACAGATTCTCAGTTCATGGTCATGACACTTCTGCGATCACACAGGTACCCAGTTCTATTGTTTTCTTTCCCTGCTGCACTTCTTTTCTCCTGATGTTGAATCTTTGTACATGTTGTTGACCTTTTATATTTAATTTTGTATGCCTACAAGTACTTGCCTTTTTATTTGATCAATTCGTTTGTGCATTCCTCTCCTTGTTCGTGATTATGAAAAATATATTTGAGTTTCAATCAAGTCAAACAGAAAGGATCTTTCTTGCAAACAATAATTTTCTAACTAAGAATTAATTCTGGCTTTTTGATGTGCTTTTGAACATCTAGAGTTATTAATCTAATGACTAGCTTTCAATTGGAGGCAGTGCTTTTTAAGCTGTCTTTTCTCACAAAACATTTATGTCAAATTCAGTTCTATTGTAGTTTTCTTGTCTTTATTTTAGGACAATTAAGTAATAACAACTTAGGCTATTACAGAGATGATGATAAAGGTTTAGCAATCATGTCGCGCCATCGCTATCCGGTTGAAGTATGTCGAATTTTTGAACGGACTAGCACTGAAAAGCTGCAGGCAGCCCTAACACGTTCAATGGAACCTGCTGGAACTGAATCTGTGGATGGGAGTGAACAGGTAAACAATGCTTCTGATGTATGCCAAGGGATGGAGAGTGACCGCAAAGTGGCAAATTGTAGGGAGTCTAACAAGAAGGTTAATGATGGAGCTCGTTCCAAGCATCCTACCTTAAAGGTTGTTCTTGGCGAGGCTTTGGGCTATGGACCAGCATTGTTGGAACATATTATTCTAGACGCTGGTCTTATACCGAATACAAAAGTTGCTAAGAATTTCAAATTAGAAGATGATACTCTACAGCTGCTGGTGGGTGCTGTTTCCAAGTTTGAAGATTGGCTAGAGGACATTATATCAGGTGATAAAATCCCTGAAGGTTTCATATTGATGCAGCAAAAGAATACGGGGAAGAGGGACGTCACCTTTTCAACTACAGGAAGTTCTGGACAGGTTTTTTCCTTTTCCCATTATGAAATATATATATATATATATATATTTGTTTGTTGTTCTTGTATGGAAATCCCGATGGTATAATTTACTTTATTACAGATTTACGATGAATTCTGCCCTTTGTTGCTGAACCAATTCAAGTTGAGGGATTGCAAAAGTTTTGAGACCTTTGATGCTGCATTAGATGAATTCTACAGTAAAATAGAAAGTCAGCGTGTTGAACAACAGCAAAAAGCTAAAGAGAGCTCTGCAATGCAGAAGCTGACCAAGATCCGTAATGATCAGGTTTTTTTTTTTTTTTTTTTTGAATTTTTACTGCATTTTGGAGCATAAGCTTTCTTTAATCCACTACAAAGTGTTTTTTCATGTCATGGGAAACATGTCAATATGAATCCCAAAGTGAGGGTTGCTCATTAAAGTTTATTCATTTTATGTTGTGCTGGCACCCTAATTTATTTCACAATGCCCATAAGGTGGAGTTTTTTAAACATAAGAGGTGAAGTAGTAGACTCTTTTATTACTGTCAACTTTTGCATATCAGCTAAAAACGGAATGAAGTGAATGAAAGAAAGGGCAGATAAGCAATGAATAAAATCTCTTTACCTGATAAAACTGAAAGCTACCAGAATTTGTGATTGTTGTGGTATTTAATGAATTTTGGCTTGTACCATGTGATTTTTGGGAAGTGTCTATACTTGCTCTAGGTTTGTTATGTAATATGTGATTTTTGGGAAGTGTCTACTCTAGGTTTGTTACTTATTACCACCTGTGCACCTCAAAACATTGTGGTATTGAGTGAGTTTTTGTGTTTGGTGTGTGACTTGGAAAATATCTGTGGATGTGTTAAGTTTGATCCTATGCACCTCATCTAAAGCTGGAGATAGTTCCCCATTGATACCTGCGTTTAAGGTTGGGGGATTTTAAAATTTCCTAGATGTGAAAGAGTTTATTTGGTAGTTTCCTTCCTTTTTTGGCAGTTCTTGTGCACCAAGTAATCTGTTATTGTGAAGGGGAAATTACTAAATGTTCTTCTGATTAGACTTGGTTGATACTATTTGATTAGTTTTGGCTGGTTGTATTGATCTTCTTG